TCCAAGCCAACACAGACCGCATAAAGGTCATAGAGGATGGCATCCTGGATGCCCACACTGAGGTGTCCCACCTAAAGAACCCAATGCAACAGCTTCATACTCACCAACAGGCACTGGCACAATGGCTGACAACCCTTGAAGATCAACTACCGCGGAACAACATAAAAATCCGAGGCATACTAGCGATAGTCGGAGCAGAAGAACCTCTGCATTACATCCGGAGGCTGCTAGCAGCAATACTCCCGCCAGCGGTGGCCAAAATAATCACAATAGATGGCGTCTTCAAACTTAGTAGCATGGCCAAGACCTCCACCTCAGAACCCCAGGACATGATCATCCGCTGCACCTCTCCGAATGACAAAGACCATATTATGGCAGCAGTACGAGGTAAAACCCCACTATAGTTTGAGGACTCCTTCTTAAACCTCTTTCAAGACCTTACTAGGGCAACGCTGCAGTGGCGCAGACACATGGGCCCCATCACGACTCACCTCCGAGGCAAAGGAATACCCTACCACTGGGGAACGCAGGGCACCTTACTCGTCCACAGGAATGGGACTACCCATACACTCCAGGCACTCACGGAGGCGCCTACACTATATGCAGCTTACGGAATAGAGGCACCTGACCCCAACATGCCTGGAAGCACCACGAATGGAATATGGAATCCGGAGACGGTGATCCCCTTCGTGCCACGACATGGGAGCCTCTAACCAACAGAAACATGACTATGGGAATGATCTGGTAGGCACCCACTGACCTGGCTGACACGCCACCATGGGACTAAGCCATGGCTAAACTTATTGTCCGTACCTTCTCTGAGGCCTGCAGTAGGCAACCTCAGTTTTTCTCTCTCACTATTTATACCAGCACCGTATCAATAAGAGAAGGCCCAGTAGCACACGAGGTTACAGACCTGAGAACACCCCCCCACACACCCTGAGGTTACAGGGTACCATACACACGAATAAGCCAGAGGCATACCACCAACGCAAGCACTAACCACCTCTCGCATCACACCGATTAGCAATGCTAAATCACCACACTAGAAGCAGCAGGTCAATAATTTAAGAATTTTAAAAAACATTTTTTTTAAATAGCACGAGGCCTTAGATAGTGGTTCTTACACTATACAATGCACAGGGGTCTCCAGGACTCCTAATAACTGATAGGAGCTCAGCCAATAATGCTCCATTTTTCACTTTGTGTCCATTGGGTTGTGAAGTTGTATTAAGTCTAAGCTTCTTACAACTATTTGTGCTACCATGCCATGGGAGGGTAACAAAAATCCTGTGTCGACATCCCTTCCGGACCCTTCACTCAGTTACTATCTTTTGTTGCAATCTGCCAAAGTCAGTGGAATGCTCAACCCAATGTTTGGAATGTTTCAAGAGATGTCTTACCATATTGAAATGTTATCTTTAAAGACCCAGGCATAATGGCATAGTGTAAATATATAATGAAATAATAACTACTTTTAGTAGAATAAAAAGCAAAGTAGAAACCTAAGAGAAACTGCTGGGAATCAACAAAAACCTTTTTCCTCATACAAACCTCTACAGCAGGTAGATTTCTTTCCGATCATGCCTGAACCAAAAGCAGCATTTTGTTCCGTCGTTTTGAATAAAAATAATAATAATAATAATTTTTAAAAAAAAATTATATTCTAAGTTCATTGTCGGAAATTCTGTGTATACTCTGCAACAGTAGACTTGAAGAACACATAGGACAAAAGACAATATTTTAATAGTTTAAATAGGAATTCAGTATTAAATAGGAATGCAATATACATTGTTTGAATTCCTGCTCCAGCATTTGACATTGAGTGTTGTGAGTGTTCCTATTAAAGCTCTCTCATCAATGCAACAACCTTTAATGTACTTTCTATGCTGACCCGAGAATATTGTGTCACACACACAGTTCAAATTCCATTGACAATCATAACCCAGTAGAATGGTTAATAGGGAATAGAGAAGTACAAGGTATTGTCTAATAAAACCCTCATATACACTCACTTTTGTGGGAAATAATTGCAATACTTAGCAGGTCAACAAGGAACAAGGTTAAATCACACTTATTCCTTTTGTAGGTTAATATGGAATATTGTAGAACAACTTAGTACTCTATATAAGGAATGTCTGGGAAAGCACAGGTGTATAGCAATTTGGATTAGAGAAAGAATTATCAATGAAAGACTGCTCATGTCAAAATCCTATTGTATGGCATTGTTTGTATTTATATAAAGTAAAACAGTCTGTGATTGCAAGCATCACTGTATTTACCATTGCCATTTGTGTATCCATGCGTATGTTTTTTTTGTTGTTTTTTAGTCTAACATTACATTTACATAATTTTGTAATTCTGTTCAAGGGTTGAATTATTCAAGATATTAGCTGCCTTAGTATCCATTTCTTAAGGTAGAAAAACCCAGACTGATTAAACATTTATTAAGAAAAAAAACTTGTCTTATTATTGTTCTCTGAAAAATCTGTTAGATATACAGGACCCAAGAGCCATGTTTGACCCTGGACCATAACCACGTATCTCAGATACCCTCCTGGGTCTACGTTTTGATGGCAGGTGCAAAAACATTAAAGAACCACTATAGTGCCAGGAAAACATACTCGTTTTCCTGGCACTATAGTGCCCTCCCGCCCGGCTCTGGAAGGGGGAAAGGGGTTAAAACTTACCTTTTTCCAGCGCTGGGCGGGGAGCTCTCCTCCTCCGATCCTCCTGCTCTCCTCCCCGTCGGCTGAATGCGCATGTGCTGCGCGCGCATTCAGCCGGTCGCATAGGAAAGCATTATCAATGCTTTCCTATGGACACTGGCGTACTCTCACTGTGAAAATCACAGTGAGAAGCACGCAAGCGCCTCTAGCGGCTGTTAATGAGACAGCCGCTAGAGGGAATGGGGGAAGGCTTAACCCATTCATAAACATAGCAGTTTCTCTGAAACTGCTATGTTTATAAAAAAAATGGTTTAACCCTAGCTGGACCAGGCACCCAGACCACTTCATTAAGCTGAAGTGGTCTGGGTGCCTAGAGTGGTCCTTTAAAGAGGTGCATAGTGTTCTAAATGACAAAGTCTGTGCTGTATATTGCTTCCAGGGCATCCCCTTCACTGGGGTTTCAGGGGGTTTTCCTTTTATGTAGTTATAGAACACATTTGAAAATAATACGTTTTTATTCAATAAACCGGAAATTGTGAGGAATTAACATGGGAACTGCACATTTAGGATCAATAAAATAGACAATAGGTGAGCTTCACAATATGGCCATTTTGGTATAACATTTCTATTTGCTGTGACAATTCTCTACTTGGTTTAGTGACTAAATCCCAGAACCTTTTAAGAATTATATTTATAAGGAACTACAAATGTCTAATTTTTGTGTGTGCTAGAATGGTAGGCATTGGCAATATATATATAATAGGTCAAAGAGGAACTGACATATCTCTTGCTATCATAGCATTCAATAAACCTTTAAAATCACTGGTATTATCTATTGATTGTTTTTAGGTTTTTATTGTTATTTTTTGTTCTGTTTTCCTCTTTCTATTATGCACTCTCTGCGCTGACTGCCAGGTGTAAAAGACAAATCTTATAAAAATAACTGGCAGGGAAACAAGAGGGTGCACTCAATCCCAGTATTGAGGTAAATACAGTGGTGTGGATCTCTACTTTTTATTTTTCACACCTCGCTAACACATATTTATTAAATCTAGTAGATGAGTAAATATAATGTTAAAACATGGGGTCAACAAGTGATGACTTCAATTTAAGCAATTTTGTCATGGACCCAAATTATGAACTTAATATCATGAAAATGAACTTTATGAACATGACATGCCATCAGTTAATTCTCGTTCATCATTTTGGGCCGATTACTAACCCAACACTGATTAAATGCCTGTTCCCACCAATAGGGACACCCTGAAAATGGCAAAGACTCAGGGATTATTAACGGATGATCTAAAGAATTGTCACCAAGTAAGGTGTTAAGCTAAAAAATTAGGTGCTTCTTTTTCCTTCGCTGATTGGAAGTTCTATTTGATTGCTTAGACGGATCGATCTAGTAAAAATCATAAAATGAATACCATTAGCAAGTAGCAAGACTACACTGTTTGCTGTGATATGACTCAATAATTCAAGCTTGAGCAATGGCCCTGTTATAGATATTGGGTGAATATATGTCTCACATACTAGAGAACCTGCTCCGAAATGGTAAGAGGAGGCCAGTCCTACCACTTGATATAATTAATGTTTCCGTCATCTTGTTTCTCGGGGTTGTTAATTCACTCATATGCTTACATTGTACAATAGCTTTATGTTTTATTTTCCTGGTTTGCTACATCTCCCTTTCATGATAAGATCTGGTCTAAACCCTTTTGTGACCTTGGAACCAGATTTGAATAGATACAGGAAAATAATTCACCTTCCCGTTCTACCGTCGGTATCCAATGCCCCGGTTATAACAAATCTATTCCTTGACACAAATATTATCAATTTTGTGCTCTTATTGTTTTTCGGTGCATAATAAAACGAAACAATATAAAAATAGCTTTTGGTAATAAAAAAAAATGCAATTATAATATTTTTGTCTAATAATAATATCATAATATTTTATATCGCGAATGGTATTGCACCCTGGAATCTGGATTTTATCATTAGCCTCCTAATTGTACTAATTTTATCAAGCTCTGAATAATACAAATGCAGAGATGGCCCTTCCAGGAATAATACCTGTGCTACAGCTGGCTTTCTTAACCACTGAGCTAACTCATATTATTGATAGTTTATCTATCCTTGGTTTATATTTTCCTGCTTGATTTTTATCTGACCTAATATAGTCACAACAAAAATAAAATAAAATGTTTACAAAGTTATCTTTTTTTAGAAAAAAATAAACAGGACAGGAAAAATAATAAAATCTTGTTTTTTATTTGGAATATGTAATACTTACAGAGCAATACAAATTAATTACAATTATTGTACATATAACGTCAGAGCGTGGTATCAAAGATTTTACATCAAATATTTACAAAAAAGTCAAATTACTCAATCTCTCCCCCCCTTAGTCTTCAGCCAAGAACCATTGTCTGCAAACGCTGCATATACTTTAGAAGTAATATATATATATCGTTTTTAATTATTTTGTATGTATAGATAAGCATTTATTTATATATATTTATAGATTTATTTATATATTTATATTTTCCTTTATTTAAAAAAAAGCCTCTCTGTATGTAAGCAGAAAGATTTGTCACCATTTTGGAGTCAAGAATTGGGTGTCAAACCTTAGAGAGCTTGGGAGGAATGCGCTGAGCCCGCACTCCAGCTGCTGGGGACTATGGCTCTTATGATGCTTTTCCCCCTAAAAATTCCTTCTTAGCAATCTAAGATTAAGTAAGAGCTATGACTCCTCTTGGTTCCACATGTTTTATGGTTTTTATATTGGTTAGGAAGAGGACAATTCTTGATTTCATTGACCCTACTAAATGTCCCACAAGGGGTGGATTCTCTGTCAACTTGACTATGACTTTTGACTTAAAGGTTGTCTAATGTGTCCAGTTGGACAACCAGTCCAGTTTTCTAATGTGTCCAGTTGGGCAACAAGTCATTTGAAGTTACCCATGAAAATGGTATTATATACCATGAATGTACTACCTCAAGGTGAAACTGGGTAGCTCTCACACCAGACCTAATGGTTAGTAGGCAAAATAAGTCTTGTCTAATATTAATGAGGCATTAACATTCTACCAATTAATATATATTAAGTGACATGTTTTGGTTGGCAGTGTCAAACTTTGTAGGTACAAGAGCCCAGCTGCAAAATAGACCAACAGCTTAAACCACCACAGCCCCAGACCTAGGTATACAGAAATGTCCATATGTAAGCCTGGCCTTGAGACCAATGGATAGTGAATATTGTGCTGCCTTCAAAGTACCATAGTAGGGATGTGATGTGCCAGGGAGGCTGGGTGTGGGACTGGCAAGTTAGGGGAGTGAGCCTGCATTGAGCCGCTGGGGGGGCGGTGACGAGCACTCTTCTGGTGAGCTCGAAGTCCGGCCAGTTGTGAGTAGGCACTCTGGCAAACCTGGCACTTATAAGGACGTTCCCCTGTGTGTAGACGAACATGGTTACGTAGAGTAGAGGACTGACTAAATCTGCGGTTGCAGAAGCGACAGACGAAGGGCTTGTCCAATGTGTGGATCCGCATGTGAGACCGAAGATTGCTGCGAGAATTGAAACCACGATGACAGATCACACAACGCATGCGACCACTCATTGTTGGTCCTGAAGTATCCACACCCCCAAACTCATCTGCAAGAAAGAGATGACCGAGTTAGAAAGTAAACCAGTTGTTCTGGTCAATATGTTTAGTTTAATAAAACAGGGCAATTGAAATTGACATAAAAGTATGTAGTCATAAACATGAATAAGAGTTCCAAAAAAAGATACTGAAATAGTACCTTTTAGAGAATAAGATAATTTTTGTTAAAATAAGTGACAAAATATTCCTTGCGACTATAAACCAAAATCTTCAGAAATTATCTTGTTAACGTGTAAAGAGTTAAGAATCAATTAGAGGCTTTTTCACTAAACAATGAATTATTGTGCATTGACAACTAAGGTGTAAAGTTTAGGCCGATTTGGCATAGTTGGAAAAGGATTCACCAACTGGTCTATTTTCCCAACTATAGTAATGTGGCCTTAATTTTAAAATTTAGTTGACACCATATCACTGTTTAGTAAATGAGTCCTTGCCCTCTCTTAGTTTTGTGCTTTGAATGTTATGAAATTCACTGCTGTAAGAAACCTATGTTGCAGACAAATTCTACAAGGTTTAAAGTGGTAAAATATCTACGTGTCCTGTTTGAAAATAAAGCTATATTTTAATTGGCTACATAGTGCTTTCAGCCAATCAGAATATAACTGGAATTCAGACGATGGTCAGTGACCACAACATCCGCAGATGAGAAAAAATTGATGGCTGCTTCCAATATGCTATAAAATGCAAACTGCAATATAACTGAGGCATCCAATATTGCTAATAACTCTTTTATACGAATATTTGTGAATGTGATTCCAGTGCATAAACAGTCAAAATTCTAGAATCCAATCTCTAATTTCGGCATCCGTCCAGTACTCACCATGCTTATTCTTCTTCTGTTCCTCTTCCATGCCTGGGACTCCTGGGATTCCAAGAAAACTGCTTTGAGAGTTTCCATACCAAACCAACAATTCCTGATCTGGCGGGATAGTCTGTGAAAAATAAAAATAAGAGACTGTTAAGAATCACAGTTAATATAGTTCATTTGTCAATGTTCTTGGCAAACTCATTGTCCCCTTTAATAATTAAATAAATTGTACCAGTGTAACATATTTCAACTTATTTGTTGAGTAATATCTTGGTGCCTCATAAGTATTAATTTGAATAATAGATTGCTTGCAATTTTTGCTGCCTGGAAATGTATTCATAAACAGGACTATACATAGATTATGATGTCACACATTTAGACTTGAAGAAAGGAGATTTAGTCTAAGACAAAGGAATTTTTTTTTTACAGTAAAAACAATAAGGATGTGGAATTCTCTGCCAAGAGAACTGGTTTTGTCAGAGTCTGTACAGATGTTTAAACAGCAACTGGTTAAATGGTTAAATACTTTCAAAAACATAATATTCAGGGATATAATTTTTAATTTGTGGGGTAATACCTTCTTGATGCAAGGAAATATATGACTGCCATTCTGGGTTAAAGAAGGATTTTTTCTAGTTTATTGCAAAATTGTGAAGCTTTTCAAACTGTTTTTTTGTTTGTTTTTTTGCCTTCTTTTGGATCAAGAGCAAAAACAGACGTGGGAAAGGCTGAACTTGATGGACGCATGTCTCTTTTCAGCCTATGGAACTATATATACATTGCATCTGATATTGTCAACCTTGGTAAGAATTATTCTTTGATGTATATTTTATTATATTTTTAAATTCAAAGACTTTATTTAATAGTCCTTGAAGAGTTATAACATATATGTAAATTAATTATAATTATGATAATGGAACGCCACTGTATTCGGATTGTGTTTAAGGACTAGTGGGATTATAAAGAACCTCCTCCCATTTTAATCTAAATAATATGCTAGTAACTTTAAAGCAGAAAGTATAATACTTGGATGATTTAGGTTTACAATGAAAGATCTTAACATAAGTGTTAATAGCATCTCAAAGGTCAAATCTTAAGCTGATGTGGCATTGCACTCCTGAAGTACAGTGTGTTCATTTAAAGTACCTATTTTTATTTATTTATTTATCTTTTTATATAGCAGCCACGGAATGGTTTGCATTCTGAATCTTCTCTTGGATATAAAACAGGGTCCCTCCTTTGACTTTAGAACGTCAGCTCCCTGGTTACCAAGGCCGCTGCTGAATAGAAGGTTATTTTACATGCTTTCTTTAACCCCTTAAGGACACACGACATGTGTGACATGTCATGATTCCCTTTTATTCCAGAAGTTTGGTCCTTAAGGGTTAAACAAACAATCCTTAGGAATAAAATAGAGAAGCAATGAATGGTAGGTTCATATAGCCGGTTAGCTGCATGTGTTGCTGGCTGCAAACAATATAAAGCAGGGCAGACCTTGAGCCCAACAGAATGGGCAGGAGGGAGGGGGGCAGGGGGACAATCTAGGGCCTTCTGTGCTTTTTTGTTCCACAGCCCTGTGGATGAGAGTCAGAAGATGCTGGGGCAGTTTGTGAGCCAATCCAAATATATATATACTGTTTGTGTATACGGAAAGAAAAATCAACTAATGGCTGGGTAGAAATAAGGCTTTCATTAACTTAACTATAAAGGCAGTTTCCGGGATCAGTGAAGTCCATTCTTCAAGCTTTGTCTGAAGTAGACATCTATAATCATGGCTTTGCTGACAACATATTCACTGTACCCTGCCATTTGTTGGATATCACATTGATTTTTGTCTCTTAGACGAGAGACTAACTTCCCCTGCTGTGTGACCAGAACAGTGAATGACCCTATTGTCCCAGCCAAAAGCTGCTTTCCCGTTGTCAGCATTAATAGTAAGGTGCCCCGTTGTAGCTCATGAGAGACCCCAGCAAGCTGTTTTTTTACATAGTCGCTACATGACCTCAGGGTCATTGAAATTTACAGAGCAACTGAGTCACAAGACTACCACGGGCAAATCCCTGATGTTCCCCTGTTTCACCTGGTTTTAGAAAACTTGTCATGTGGATGTCCTAACAAATAGATCTCCAGCACCCATTATGCAAAGACTGGCAAAGCACAATGGAATGTGCCGTTCCACAAGAATGGAGCCTGCCTTTTCACTATCCTTACCTACAATTCTGAAATATTGACATGCAGCCAATGAACTTTTGATTACAATATGTCAAAATATGTTCTGGACAGCATTTCGTAGGTTTGATGGTAAATCAAATACAAATTAAACATTGTTAAATAAGCTATTTGTAGGGTATTCTTATGGTTGTTGTACTGGCCAGATATATGGAAGTGGTGAGCCACATCCATATAATACATTGCATGTACACTCCACCACTCACCTCTATGGCTTTGTAGAAGATGCTGTTCCCAATCTGTACCACCTCCAAGTTCTGCTCCTGTTCATTACGCGCACACTTAATGTATGTCATCCAACTGCGGTGATCCTCCTGGCTGGCGTCAATGAAGTAACGCACAGTGCTATCTTCATTAAATACCTGCATGAAGAACACATAGAGATAAAACATTTACTCCCTGATGACTGCCCTCTTTCACAAAAATGCAAAATGATACGGCTCCTTAAAATGAATTACCCCGGGTTATCGTACCCCAAGATTTTTAATTTTCACTATGCCAAATCACTGTTTAGTGGACAACAACCTCCAGAGAATTTAACCCCTTTTTTAATTGATTTCTGCTGTAGTGTTCAGATATTACCTTTAACACATCATACTTATGTTTTCTGACCCTGAATTAAAATCTTTCCTGATTTGCACTGGGCAGGTCTTAGATCCCATATCATCTTGGCCAACAAGCTTTAGAGAAACAACATTTCATTTAATACTTTACCAGTCCCCCGTGGAAAGATATTTGAGTCCACAAAGAACGTGACCACCCAAATTTGAAGGCCATCTTGAAGAAACAGTCTAGCCACTGACAAATTCCTGACAACAATACAATTCATTTTCTTACAGGCTTACTCACTAAAGTAAGATCACAGTGAATTTCAAATGTAAGGCCAGAGTAGCCTGACTTTGAGAATTTTTCTGGTTTGGCTATTTTGAACTTAAATTTGAAAATTACTTCAAATTCTTATTTTAGCGAATAACCCCGCCATTTTTTATTTCACATGTCGTTTAAACTTGCAGGCAGAGCACCTTACCATGTATAGTCTCATAATATTTCAAAGCCCTTTAAGTGATGTATGAACCAATATTTAAATTGTTGGTGCTATACAATGAATTGTCAATAATACATTATATTTAAATGTATTGGTTTTCCATATTTTTTGTCGGATTTGCTCAAATAGTTGCACCATGCAAAATATCACTGCAAGAATTGTATTTAAACTGATATTCTGCATTCTAACTTTGCTTATATCTGGACAAGAATTCATTTTACAAAGCAATATAATTTTTGTACACAAAGGTCCATTGTTGTAATTAACTGTAAAAGAAAAAAATCCGAAACTGGTAGCATTTAATTGATTGTTAAATTATATATATGAACTTGTGTACAAATAAATATAAAAAGAAAGAAAGAAAAGTGTCACTGGGTATTATTATAATTAATCACTGAAGTAAAAGAGAGATTACAATTGTCATCTAATTTCCATAATGATATGATTGTCAACCCTCAAATTAAAATTAACCCTCAAATTAAATGTCTTTGTTCTTTGTTGAAACAGTTACTTGCCAATAGAGAGTAAAATAAAAAGAGAGACTAGAGGTGGTTGAGCTCAATTACTTGGGTAAGCTTCATCTGACATACTGTATGTGGCAAAATAGTCACATTTATTGGGCCACCAAAAGAGGTACCTTTCCAACTAGAGGCACTAATACTATCATATAATTATCTTAATTGACTGCCTAGTGCCATGGTTTAGGCTCCCGTTCAACATTCTTGCTATACACTATAGGCTTGATTCTCATAGCAAAGGAAGTATTTATTCTGCTTCTTGAATAGTAATTATCCCAAAGACTTCAATTTAAGAATTACAATTCAGTAAGCAGAGTAAAATATTGCTTTGCTTAGAGAATCCAGCTCTGTGTTGGCAGAACCACTCCCAAAGGCCCCTGAATAGTCTTCTTCAGTACCGTTCGGTGATGCCTTCAACCCCACCTGCCATAGTCTTTGTTACCTCCTATCCTTCTTGCTAAACTTTATTATGCCCCAACCACCCTACTGCAAAGCTTTGTCCTTCAACCTTCATCTCTTATATAGTCATGTTTCACCATGTAGAACCTTGAGACCTCTCTACCACCCAAAGAACTTTATGGTCTCCGTAATATCAGTCCTTATTGAATGAAAGACTTCTGTTCTATAAAATTATAACTGGTTGGTAAAGAATGAGAATTGTCTTTAAAATGCTGTATAAATATAATGTGTCAAAATAAATCTCAACATTGTTCTAGTGAAAGATTATCATTAATTTCTTCGATTAACATAAAATGAAATAGTTACTTTGGTGGGGGGTTTTCTGCACTCCATAAGCCAGTCACCAAAAATAGGACATAAAACACTTCCGGATTCAGTCACCTCCATCTGTGTTCTAGTCTAGATTACATTTGAAGGTGGGCGCTCAAATTCTGCCGTATCACTATGTCTCAATCAAATCAAGTCTTGTGATACTCTTTATTTAATTTTATTGGTGCTATAAAAATAGATGCTATCAATCTAATTGGCTCATTACTGGTCGCAGCTTCAGATCAATAAACCTACTTAAATCAAAGAATTTGTGCCTTTCAAATTTGATCAGATTCCACAAGGCGAAATAAGCGGCTGATGTAACAGGTTGTTGCCATATCTTGCAATATCTGTAACATTACATTATAAGAGAATTTTGGAATGACACATTTTTGGAAAAAGCTCCCTTTAGCAAGTCTAAGGCAAATGCATGATGTGTATTTTCGTCACTGTATGAAACTGATTATAACATGAAAACCAGCAAGAACAATAGCATCACGTAGAGAGAAAGAAACTCTTTAAGCCCACCAAAATTTAAAAAATATATATATATTTTTTTTTTTTTTATTTAAATAAAAAAAATATATATATAGATGTAAAAAACTGGTAAAATCTGAATTCTATCTGTTTTGTACATCTACATCACTGAACTAATACGGCTACAATCTCTATTTGAACACTATGGTGTATATATATATACACACACACACACACACATACTAGTACTTAATCATAGGCCAATACATTCTAATACTAAATAATGATTACAAATAATGATTTAAGTGCTGTTAATTATCACTTTCATCCTTGGCTCTCTACTTAAATAGATCAGTATGTATGTGCTTCCATCTGTCTACAGAATTGGCACTTCACAAAACAAATGCTTGGAATAAAATTATTCCAGGTTAATAAAGCTCAAATAGATAATAAAAGGTTATAATAATAAAGGAAAGATTTTTTTTATAAAGCTGTTCAGTCCTATTCATAATTACAATACAGACCCACATATTGTCTGTGCTAAGTTTTCACTTGATCATATTAATACAAATGTTAATATTGTGTTTTGGGTGTATCCTTGCCTGTGTGCGAATCTGTGTGTGCACCTTTGTCTATGTCTGTAAATTAGAATCTGTGAAAAGCTGTGACGTGCATTATCTATATGTGTCCTTGATTAAACATAATGAAACAATTATTTGTTCACTTTAGTCTTTCAACACCTATATGAAAATGGGTGGGTACTGACATTTGAATTGACACTTGAAGAGTCTGACAAGTGCATGCACTTCAGATTATCTTGTTAATTATCATTATCTTTTTAATGGGTCTACAACCTCCCACCCCCATCTACCACCTAAGGGCAATCTAGATTTTCCTGAGGTTCTCAGGATGAATGCCTTTCTCTGAATGATATACTCTGATAAGACTGAGGAATGTTTTATATCCTATCTGACTGACATATCTGCTGATCAGAAGATATGTTCCTTATACCCTGAAGATAAAATTACCATGCCAAAAAGACCCCCATGCCTCAGGATCCAGTGATACCTGTGTTCTACCTGGGTGGGTAAATTGAAGCCCTAGCGATCACAATGGGGATTAATAATCCTCAGAAAATACAGTAACAAAACAGAAGATTCCATTCCTCATCATGAAATATATCCAAACTCTACAGAAGTCTATGACACTGTCTGTATTATGTAATTCTCTTTTTATCTGCACATGGATGATATTAGCTTGCAAAGTAATCAGCGTGACTCCTCACCTCCCACATTAGGTTGTTGTTCTTGCACAGGTCCACATGCTCAGGTGAGATGACCCTCCCAGTGAATGGTCCCATCTCGGTGCCAGCTTTGATCCAGGTCTTGGAGAAGATGCCCAAACCTTCTCCAGGGATGGAGCTCTGGGCTATGATAACTTCAGAAGGCAGCACTAGGCTGGAGAGTTTCTGGACCTCTGAAACAAGAAAGGCAAGTGGGTCAGCACACAGGCAGAACTGGGTCTGGGATACCATCAGTAGGCACCTTACGTGCATACATTCTGCCACTGAGAAGATATAGAGTTGGCACCTCTTACCTGACGGTCAAACTTATTAAAAAGGACAAAGTATGGAAAGTTGGCAACGGAATTGGCATATCTATACCCTACTTAACCAGAACCTTATCTGATACCTCTAACCAACCATGGGTTAAAACGCAGATAATATAATACACCTTTATGACCATTATTGCTAAGATAGTAAGTACCCAGATATTGTGCCAGCAGGTTATCAGGGCGTATATTCTTCCATATTCACAGGAGAAGGGACCCAAAAATATCTCCCCATCCCATACCCTGTTGGCTTATCTCTCCATCGCATACCCTGGCATTTATACATTGTGGTATCTAGATATCTCATCAGTGGTACCTATCACCAAGGTTGGCAATGGTGGCAATAAACACTTTCAAATTGTCATCCCGACAGATTTTAAATTCTAAATGGAATATTATATTATATTTAATGTATTCTATTCTACAGCGCTGCGGGATAGTTAGAGCATAATCCAATAATGACTACAAGTGCGCTAAATATATATTATATAAATCTATCATAATATATAGAGCGTATATGGAAGATGTTTAAAAGTTATACCAAACAGATTGAAAATCAATGCTATGTATTTAGTATTTAGGCATGTAATAAGGTATATATATATATATGTATTGATATATAAAGAATATGAATTAGCTATTCGCTTAGCGGTTGGCTGTGCGCATTTAATGATGTACGTAGAATTTAAAGATAGTATCGCAATAAAAGTGATTCATGTATTTTATTGACGATCAATTGCTTTAATGTTAAGACATCCTATTTTATCCTTCTAGTTTGTTTGTTTGTTTTAATTAATCTCTTTACTTAATGCGAGCATTAAAACGTGACATTGTTTCAAAGTAATTTATCTCTGACTCAGAAGATATTCATACATTTTAAACTGTTTCTAAAAATATACTTACAATATCCTATCTCTAAAAAAATAAATAAATAGAAATATAGAAATAAAATGAGATTTTGCCAATAGAATGCTTAAAAAAAAAAACTTTTTTCATCGCTTGATGCAAAACAAAAAACATTAAAAACAAAACCACAAAAAAAGTCAAATTAAACAGATCGCTTTTAAAACTGATTTCGTTCCATTAAAACTTTGAGGTTTTTTTCCTTCCCATTTTTTTCTAAAATTCCCTTTTATTATTTTTCTGATGATAAAACCAACAGTTATTTGAATTTTAAAATGGATCATTTTTTTTAACTAGAGGAATTTTTAAAAGCATACCTGTTATAGAAAAAGATATACAAAGGGTTTTGTTTTGAAAAAGACAGGGGTTAAATAATGGACCCTATCTGTCCATCTAGCAATTTGTCACACTGTTAAAGTGATAGGCATTCAGAAAACCCAACAAGAGTGAAATCACTAATTCTAAATTCATTAGCCTTTATGAATACCAGTGCTAGACATTTCTGAAGCATGTAGAGAGGACTTGCTATAAAGCTGAAGGAATTTGGGAAACAAAATGGTGAGATTAGATGGTTGACATAAAGTGAATGCAAATGGATTTAGTTTTCATGGTAAATTAAGAAAGGAACAAATTTGAAAAAGGAAGGATAATGCTTTCTCCATAGATGCCAGGAGAGAAGGAGAGTTATTGTCCTGAGATTGATGAATGAGCAGTAAGGATTTGAGACATCTTAAAAGAAAAGAGACCTTTTTTTTGTTTAGTCTCTTTTTAAGTTGGTTTAAGTGGGAAAATTTCTCAGGTCAAGCCCAAGTTAACTAAATGAATTTAAACTTTTTCTTTCTTTTTTTTTTTTCCAAGTCTGGGTCTATTACACGCCTTGCTAAACTGCAGGAATAAGAGGGATGAAGGCAGAGATTGGGGAGGAAGGTGAGGGGGGTGGAGGGGGGCATGGGGTAGGATGGGTGAAGAGACTGGGGGAAAAGAGAACTCAGCTTAAAGTGAGATGAGATTTGAGGGGAGTTTAGTTAAATCTAACAGTTTGAAAGAACACATCCAAACAACAAGCAATACACCATATATTAAAATTCATGGATGTGAAAATCTGCATGCATTAATAAATAAATATAATATATATATATAAAACCCAGCATATATATAAAATTATACATTTTTATCCCATCAGATGTGCATATAAAAACTAAATAAATAATGGTACTGTATATATTTTTTTAAAATTCTTATCCCAACAGGTGAGCATATAAAAGCTACATAAAATGGTAACAATGACACAATTTGTGCCTTTCTGATTCTCTACCTAGTTCTGGATTTTGCTACTCTATCTTTATGTTCCTCCAGCCCACACTAAGTTCAATGTGGTTGGACCTCTTGGCTTGGAAGCCTTCTAGGTGCCTGCTCTTGGTACTCACCTCCAGAGAAGGACTGTGCCAGGACCTCTGCTGTGAAGGCAGTTTTGGGACTGCTGTGATTATTCTTTTCTTCAAACAACTGTTCCCCAAGGACATTCCTCCAGCGACCATAGAGGAAGCTGTGAAGGATGTCAGAGGTGATCATTTCAGCCAGGGACAGACTTGATTGCTTCAGTCCACTCTTCAGCACCAAGGCTTCTGCTGGGAGCACAGAACCCATCATGTGGAGAGGTCTTAGATCAACTGACACAGTGTAACTAGCTGTTCTGGTTGCTCTCAGGAGCTAAGGGTTTCCAGAATAACCTTGGGTTATCAACAAAGAGAAAAGCAGACTGGAAGTGATGTGTTTAGGTGGAGAGACCCAACTGTGCAGTGTCTGTCTCTTTCCAAAAACCAGAATCCCACTTCTCAGGAGCACTCCCCTCTTTATATGGGACTGGATGTCTCTCCTAATTGGTTATTAATGACCTCTATGACGTTGAAAAGATAGACTTGTTCCACTGGAAAAAAAACGGGAAAAAAAACCCAAACCTTGAGAGGTCCCCTCCCTCTGGGATAAAGAGACATGAAGAGAAAGGAGAGGCAAGGGGATGGGAGGAGGGGGGAGCAGCCTCTCACATCCCACCATTAACCCACCAGTGGAAATAAATAGGGCACCTGCTACAAACATTCAACAAAAAAAACACACACACGCTAATAAACCCCACAAACACACACACACACAATTCTGCGCATCTAAAACTAAAAACCCAGGTCTGAGAAAAAGGAGTTTGTGTATGGCTTTATTTTTTTTTTTTTTTATCTCATAACTAAAATTCTACAATCTCAAATCTAGAATTACAAAAATCCAATTTTAATATAACTAAAAAAAAATAGTCACAAAATCATACAAATTCTGAATTTGTTGTACATTTTATATGTATATAGGTATATGTTGCTGCGTTTGAATCTTTTTTAAATTGCACGCAGCCTGTTTAATTTCTAGGTATGATATTACTATATACTGTAATGTATATATTTAGTAATATCTATACATATATATATATATATAAAACGTTATATTAGAGGGTTTTTTTAAATTTATCTCTAGAATAAGGTAACAGAAAATATTTTTTTTTTTTTAAAGATTTTATTTAATAATCTAATAATTTAATTTCACGTCTCCTAAATCTTAATAATTCTTTCTTGTCATCGGGAAACAAATAGCTTAAAATGTGGATTCTTTCCAGAATATTTTCCCGGAAAAAAAAACAACAAACAAACAAACTACGATTTGGAAGTAGTGTTAAAAAAAAATCCAATCGACTTCTCTAAAGCGCTCCCTAAAAAAACAATTACTAATCTCATATAATGCAAAAATAATCCGTTTTTCTATGAAGCTTTTGTTTAAAGGTATAAAGGTAAAACGAAAAGTGCAGGTTTGAGCCTTGATGGGGTTTATTTGAGGTGTATTCAGGACTTACAATATTGTCTTCGGTTTAAATGGTGTTAAGTAGTTTCCTGTACTTTGCTTTTATTCCTTATCCCAAAACAATAATTACTAAATAAACTAAACAGCTCCATTGAGTGGGGAGGTGGGGGATTCCCTACTTCAAGCCCTTTTTTTTGGCCGGTAACCTGACTGATTTGAGGAATTGCATTAATAGCCATTGCAAGATGGTGTTTGTTGTGTGTCAGCCCCTGTATAGGGTCCCTGACACACAGGCTATCTGTGCATAGATCTACAAATACCCCAATCAAACAGAACTTCTTTATCTAGAGCTAATAGGGTTAATTAAATGTTAATAACACAGAAAAAAAAAAAAACGAAAGGGTTTAGGTAGGATTATTCCATTATACAAAATACTCCTTTGGGGAGATTTTTCTGTATTGATATTGTCAGATAGGTATTGAAATTCATATATGTAACATATTGCTAACTTGTAACAAATAGATCTTTTGTAAATGTTTATTTTCTATCTATCTATATCTGTATCTATTGTCTGTCTGTTCTTGTGTAGTGTAGTGTTTGATGTCTATTTTTGTATAGGGGTTAGGTATGATATTGTGGAGGTTTAATACTAAGGTATTATTTAGATTGTGTTAATGGATACTGTAGTTTGGAGCTGGGGATGTGGTTACCCCTAGGCTGGAGTGATGCTCTATTGCAGGTGAAATATTAGTAAATATGAGCAGAGCAAGTGGTGCCAATTATTGGGCAAACAATAGGAGGGAGAATATAACGATTTACTAATAATATAAAACCCATTGTCTGGAGAACACACAGATAGAGGGAGTTCGGGTCTTCAGGGACAGCCGCAGGGAAATGGGATGGATAACAGATTTGAGATACAGAGAGAGAGAGATAGACAGAGAGAGAGAGAGAGAGAGAGAGAGAGAGAGAGACAGAGAGAGAAAGAGAGAGAGAGACAGATAGAGACAGGAAGATTGACAGACAGAGAGAGAGACAGAGACAGATAGAGAGAGGAAGATTGACAGACAGGCAGACAGAGAGAGAGAGAGAGAGAGAGAGAGAGAGAGAGAGAGAAATTAGGTATTACAAGATACGATATTTATCTTTTTTTACATCTATAGAGAGAGAATAAACTATATTAAAGATAGCTAGCTAGATAGACAGACAGACAGACAGACAGACAGATAGACAGACAGACAGACAGATAGATATATAGATAGATAGATACATAGACAGACAGACAGGCAGATAGACAGACAGATAGATAGACAGACAGACAGATAGAAAGACAGACAGACAGATAGATAGACAGACAGACAGGTAGATAGACAGACAGACAGGTAGATAGATAGATAGATAGATAGATAGATAGATAGATAGATAAAGAGATGGATATATTGATAAATAGATAGATAGATAGATAGATAGATAGATAGATAGATAGATAAAGAGACGGATAGATGGATGGACTGACGGACAGAAACAAGATAGACATAGTACTATAGAGACAGACAGCTAATCTCACGTATGCTTCCTACACATTATATTACTGATCTCCCAGCATCCCTAAGATGTCTGATCAGCAATCACCTGTTAACAATAACATATAATAATTCCCTGACTCATGGCTCAGCTCCCTCCTTACTGATCCAATACCTCTCCATCCTGGGTACCAGTCCTGTCTGTCAGCTCTACCTGCTGGGGGAAGGAGGGATACCTGATTTCTGAGCTGGACCTAATAGGATATTGCTGGGGATACCGAGATTTGTTTCCCCTAAACAGGTCCATAGCAGAACACATCCCATTGTAATGATTGCTAACCTTGGCCCTTCTGAAGTTTGTGGACTGCACATCTCATCGCACTAAGCCAGCCTCAAACCTAAACCTTATTGAAGTATAGTCCCAGCGCATCTGGAGTGCTGAGATGAGACCTTACTGTCCCATGGGGACAGACTGGCTGGTGATTCCCTCTCACACATACAGGTGGCAGGAGTGTCCAGTGTCATTGTAACCCTCTTACTATAGGGGGCTTTCTTCCTTCTATTTAACTAACAGCCAGCCATTACCAGTGATACAGCGTGTTATCACATTCTGTGTGGAAGTTTGGTGACCATCGCCCCCAATTTCAACTCAAATCTCTACTTCATGTGTTAATTTAATTGCTCCACAACTAAGTTATATAGCCAGCAGCCATCACCTTTCCATTGAAATAGATCAGGTGTCTCTATACTCTGGCCCACCAGATGTTGCTGAACTACAACTCCTGCAGTTCTTTGAATGAAAGAAATAGCCAGAGAATCATGGGAGCTGTAGTTCAGCAACACCCGGAGTGCCGGAGTGTGGGGAACCCTGATACAGATCTATCCAAAGGCAGTTCTATAATTAGGCCTGCTAGGCAACCTTCGGCACTCCAGATGTTGTGGACTACATCTCCCCCCATGCTTTGCCAGCATTATGGAATTAAGAGCAGTATGGGAACCGTAGTCCACAACTGCTGGAGTGCACAAGGTTGCTTACCCGTGCCTTATTCCAGATTTACAAACTCGTCTAGAGCTTGCTCTGGATTTATCTAATGAATCTATTTATTTATCAGGGTAATTCACTAAAATGAGATTCGAAAGTGAATTTCAAAATCGCCAAACTAGAGACATTCTCTAAGTCAGCTTTGGCCTTAAATTTGAAACTCACTTTGAATTTACCTGAAAGAGTTTATTTGTTTAATGGTAGAAACTATCTGTCTGTCTGTCTGTCTGTCCGTCCGTCCGTCTGTCTGTCTATCTATCTGTCTATCTATCCATCCATCCATCTATCTATTAATCTATCTATCCGTCCGTACGTCCATCCATCCATCTATCTATCTATCCATCCATCCATCCATCTATTTATCTATCCATCTATCTATTAATCTATCTATCTATCCGTCCGTACGTCCATCCATCCATCTATCTATCTATCTATCTATCTATCTATCTATCTATCTATCTATCTATCTATCTATCTATCTATCTAATCTGTCTACCTTTTCAGCAGAAAGGGCCATAGGCCCATTGTGCTGGGCTGCTGAATTGTCTGCTCCACTATCCCCCCTCCTCCCCAAAACATCTCCCTCTTTCCTCAGATTGCTGAAGACTTTAAATATTCATGACAATTAATAGAGAGGCAGTATATTGGCCATTGTTCGGAGGTGTATTTTTTCCTTGGTTTGTCAAAGGCCTGAGTCTTTTCTTTCTCACCCCTCTGTTCTTCTGAGTTTTATTTTCTCTCTCCAATGACTTTTTTTTTTTTTTTTTACCCCCTCTGTACAAAATGTCTCTATTTGCAGCCCATAGACTTCAGCTCTCCCTATTCAGCACCCTACACAGTGTCAACCACAATGATTGTGAGGAAATCAATCTCCTATGGTCTTTTTGAGGCCAGTTTGACATCCCGGGATCCAGCCTTTCATTCTGCGCCTACAAGGGGATGGTCAGAACTGGCCCAGTCTGTGGAAAGACATGGGCTCTAGTGCGGCAAAGAGACAGAATAATGAATAACACAAAAAGAGTCATATCTGCTATGAGACTGTGAATGGCAGTGCAAGTAAGGAGATTACTGCGCTACAGCTGCTTTTTATCTAGGGAGGGGCTCCGTCCCCCCTTCTCGGTCTTTCAGCCTTTTTTCACCATGAATAGGATTTGAAGGGCCTTAGACTGATTTATATTTATTGCACTTAAACATTTATTGCTGTCAAAGGCAGAGTGTGAAAAGGGAGTGTTTCATGGGGCTGCTTTGTGAATTAAATAGTGACTGGGGCAGGTAATGTGTTATAATGAGGGGGCCTGCTCTGTGTAACATCATCAGGAGCAGCGAGGATACTTGGGATTGGAGTCTATATTTTCCTTCTCCCATCGGGATGAGTTAAAAATTAAACTTAGCTACTTTTAGTTATCGGTTAGTTTCCCATACTCCATTA